AAATGTATTTATTTAGAAATAAATAAATGTATTTATTTAGAAATAAATAAATGTATTTATTTAGAAATAAATAAATGTATTTATTTAGAAATAAATAAATGTATTTATTTTTTTATTTTATTTGAGCCGACGTTTAGGCTTATGTTTCAGACGTTTGTCAGGACTAAGCAAAAACAAGATAACATATAAATATTAAGAAAATAATAGTAATAATATGAAGGTAACATGAATTTTCAAATAATATTTAGGTAGTTAAACTTAACATTAATACATATATGAAATGGCAAATATATATATATTTTTTTTTTACACATATAAATTAAGAAAAAAAGAAATAATGAAAATAGTAAACAATTTACGTAAATCTTAATAATATTTAAACAATATATCAATAATTAAAGATGATAGAATTAGATTTTAAAGATTAAATGTTTATTAAATATTTTCTTAATTTTCAATATTTTAATTTTATAAATTAGCATACCAGTATACTGTTATTAACTTGGACATTAGGAGTATATTATATCCTTCTATACTTAACAGTTTCAGTTTTGAATATCAATGCGGGATATCAATGCTAAGAAAAATTATCAATTATAACACTGAATTAGTTTAAACTAATTGAGAAACTTATTATGGAAGTCAACTTTCCATTAACTTCAATTAACATATAATGACTTCTTTCAGAATTTGAATAAGAATTACAATAATTAAAACCATTTTTGAATCATATTATGTAATCATGAATTTTTTTTGTTTATTATGATTAACGGTACCTATGTTTCTTCTTTCGTTCTTCAATGTTTCTAGCCTTTGTGAAATTATTAATACATATAAGTTATATAGGAATTTACTTTGATTTATATAAATAACTACACAAATAATTTTTGGAAAAATAACCATTCAAATTATTGATATTAATTTACGAAAATTCTTGATCCAATATTAATACGAATTACACTTATGATAAGATTTTTTTCAATTGTTATTTTGTAAAGTATGAGCAATGAAGCCTTTTTGAGAATTTCGTATACCAATAAATCATAAACAAATTATTATTTTCTTTACTTTCTCTTTTTTTATTATTGTTTTATTTTGGCCAGATGTAGTCTTTTAATTATGATCTATTTTGTTATTCTAAAGGGACTTTGTCCCAGAATAAAGTTATTTTATATTTCTAAAAAAATAAAATAAAACCATATTTATAATTTTTTTTATTATAAATTATGAAACATACTACTCTTGAATGGAGAATACTAAAGTTTAATTCTTAAAATGATTTCATGAAGTTCATAATGGGAGATAAATATGATTTACACATTGGACAAGTGTACATTTTGTTAAATATGAGCTTTGAAAGTCTTGTGAGATTTTTTTTTTCATCATAGAATTAAAATAATAATGAAATTCATAATCTTTATAGATACACTTAAAAAATAATAATCTGTAATTAAAAAAATTACAGATCATGTTTCATGTTTCACAATCATGTTTTCTGTTTATCACTTGGCAGAAAAATGATAGTGTTTGTTTCAATGTTTACTTTATGAAATATGAGCATTGAATGTCTTTATGAGATTTCCTATTGCAAAATATATACAGATATATATTTTTAAATATTTTAATCCCAGAAGTATGTTTTAATAAAAAAAAAAAGTATAAATTATTAAAATAATTTTATATTAAACCGAAATTCAACATTTCTGTTTATTATGAATATATTTAGAGAGGATTGAATTATTTTTTTAAATTTATTTGTTTTGAACAGAAATTTAATACGAATGATAAATCATTTTCATTATAAATAGTTCCCAGGAATATCAATATTTCAAAATGAATTTCTTCTGAACGTTTTGAAGTTAATTCATTAAATTTTAATAATTAATAGGGTGTTTAAAAAAAAATGACCGTTTTTCAACCAAATATGGGTATTATTATTTCTGTGATATAAAAAACAATTAATTAATCTGCTAGCCAATTGCTCTATCCCACTCTGATACCATTCTTTGGAATTTTCGTCAAAGAACTCTTGAAAAGCCATTTCAACTTTCTCATAATTATCAATTTTTTTTCTTTAAAGGAAATGGGCCAAGGATCTATATAATTACTAATCCGATGTTGCGAGGTCTGGACTATATGGCGGGCAAGGCAGGAGTTCGAACCATGAAGTTCTTTAAAATTTTCTTTGGTTCGACGGAAAGTGTGAGGACGAGCATTATCCTGCAAGAATAAAATTCCTTTTCGGTTGATCAATGCAGGATAACGCTCTGACAACTTCGTGTACAATCATTCCAGTTGTTTGCATTAGAGTTCAAAATTCATAGAGCATCCACCAGGACAAAATCGTGATGAATAACATCTTCAAAATTCCAAAAAAATGCAAAGCATGGATTTTTTTTTAAGTTGCCCCCTTGCAGCAACCGGAAAAGCAGTTTGACCGCGATCTAGCCATTGCTGACGGTTATTCGGCTTTCGCCAGTAAACCCATTTTTCATCACAGGTGACAATCTTCCGGTAAAATCTCATATCAGAAGGGTTTTCAATAAATTTTCACAAATTTTTAACCTCTTAGCTTATTGCTGAGGAGTAAGTTCGTGAGGAACCATTCTACTGCTCTTTTTCACCTTCTCCATGGAGCACTAGCGGATCCAGGATTTAATTTTGGGGGGGGCTTCAGCCCGAAAGATTTTTTTTTCATAAAAATAACGATAATTACTTTGGAAAAAAGAAAGAAGCTAACTACCTATATGAAATGGTGTTTAAGTGATTCCTAAAGCCCTTTAAAATGTAATTACACGAACAATAATACTTTAAGAGATAGTTTTTTAATATTTTTTTCGATAAAACATGGTTATATTTTGGCGTTTTGGGGGGGAGGGCTTCAGCCCGAAAGCCCCCCCCCCCCCCCGTAGATCCTCCCGTGCCATGGAGAGTAAATGGTGACTAACATTATCTTTCGACACACCACACTCCCTGGCAAGTTCGCGAGTACTTGTGGACGGATTTGACTGAGCAGCTTCCTGCAGAACCTCATCAATATTCATTAATGGTCCCCGGAGCCCTTCTTCGTTTACAACGCCGTATCTCCACTGCTAAATTTTTAAACCAACGCAGCGCAGTACGCTGATCAAGGACACCTTCCCCTTCATATATAATAATTTACAAGTTGCTTCAGCGGCTGTGAATTTTTTTCTCACTGATTCCTTAAAATTATGAGAATTTCGTAGGACACTGTCATGTTTCTTCTTTGAAAAAGATAACTAAACTGAGGATTTTTTTTTAAAAAAACTTTGAGAATACTCTAAAGGGATTATTAAGTATTGGTATCTATTAAATAGGATTGAAATAGTTACAGTCCTCTAAAATCTTGAATTTGATAAAACGGTCATTTTTTTATTAAGAGATTGTTGAGGAAGCTAAAAAAAAAATATATATGATAGGAAATCTTATTTTTTTGTTCCACCTTTATTTATATGAATTATACTATAGTATTAGAGTAGCAAAATAAGGGTGAAATTATTAAAATAGTTTTATATTAGACAGAAATCAATATTTCTGTTTAATAGATTTTTATATTATTCCTGAATTGAACATTTCCGCATATTAAATTTGGGGAATGTTAATTTATTATTTACATAGTTTCAGTTAATATTCCGAGTAATTTAATTTTACTTCATTGAATACATTGTATTATATTGGAGTGGGGTAAAATATATAATTATTAAAATAATTTTATATTAATCTGAGATTCAACATTTTTTTTTATGAAATTTAAATTAAAAATAAATAAAATTCTCCCCAGAGTTCATTTTTTTTTTATTTATAAGAATACATATCGATATCTCAAAAAGAAGTTATTATACCCTTTGTGTGCTATTAACAGATGGTTAGGTATGGTAAAAAATAAATTAAATTAAAAAAAAAAATTTTTTCTTAGTCTTTTTTTTTGTTTAATTTTGTTTCGTTTAACCTTTCTTACCATAAATTATAATAAATTATTAAAGTGGACAAATTATTTTATCATTAATTTATTTATTTTAACTGAAAATCAGAATCAATGATAAATCATTTTCGTTGTAAAAATTTCTAGGAATATTGATATTTCAAAATAATTTGATCACCATGTGCTTTGCTGAGAATTTTTGTTACTTCATTAAATTACAATTGGATATAGTAATTATTTTTTAAGAGAAGGTTAGGATAATGGTTAAGAGAGATTTAATACATTTTGGGAAAATTTTTTTTTTTTGTTTTATGTTATCCAGAAATCATAATCAATAACAGTAATTCTGGGCTTTTAATGTTACTTCATGAAATGGTAATAGTCCGCTGGCTTTGGTACCGTTGAAGCGGTTGAGTGTGTAGCGCAGGGATCACTTGGAATTCTGCTTTTCCCTTTATAGTTGTGGGGTCAAGCCTACCTCGGAGTTCCCTAGTAAATAGTGTATATAAGTATGTATATGTTTTTTGTTTTTTTTTTAATTTTCTTATTTTTGAGTTATTTTATTTTATTCATGGTATATAGTTTTTGATTATTATGTAGTTGTTATTTTGCTTTTTGATTTAATATGTGTTTGTACATATAGTGTGAATGTGATCTTATCTTACTGTAACCAATGTCCAAGTGACAGAATATTGTAAAATTCAATAAATAAATAAAAAATGGTAATAAAATGTAATGATTAATTATTAAACGATTTTTTGAAAAAAAAAAAAATTTGTTTTGTTTTTTTAACCTATATTTATATAAATTATAAAGTTGAAAAAAAAAGTTATATTATTTTAATTTATTTATTTTTAACCGGAAATCAGAATCAAGCATAAATCACTTTCGTTGTTAAGATTTCTAGGAATATAAATATTTCAGAATGAATTTATCACCATGTGCATGTCTGCATTTCAATGTTACCTCATTAAATTGTAATAAAATATAATAATTAATTATTAAGAGATGGTAGTGTAATAAAAGAGGGAAGAGACGTGGGGGAGAGGGGATAATAATGGCGCAGGTAGCTAGGGCTGGCAGTGATAGAGAAGGCTGTGGCGTGCCGACTTCATTCTCAGTTTGCGCTCCGACGTCCTGGCGTTAGGTCGCCTTTCAGTTCGTCAGTTCGTTTCGTCTGTGGTCGGCATGTCGATCTATTGTTCTGTTTGAGAGTTCAGTTCCGTTACTTCATTTGTATTTATTTTTATTAAGAATATAGATACATTTTCAACTGAAGAAAAAAATATATAAAAACTAGTGAATATCAACATTCTCGGCTGTCATCGCTTCCGGCCTGCCAAAGAGCTCAAGGTGTAACTTCTGATTTTGGATACAACTATTCAAGGTAATTATTATTAATAAGCTGTTATAATTAATAACCGATAATCCCTCATGTTTTATCTAGTTGCGATTATACTGAAGGTCATACAATATATAGAAGGAAAAAAAAAAACATTGATGATGGAATGCCATTGAGCTGACATAACTGTTGTGTAAATAAAATTGTGTTTAATCATTAATATATTCTTGATTAAGGCGAGTTTTCCCACCGCGTCCTCTGTTGATATTTTTCCACTTATACAGAATTAAAAATAAACTATTATTTTGTGTTGTTATGAAGAAGTAAACTCAAGCCCATGTAAAAAAAAAAAAAAAAAAAAGATATAAAAACAGACCTCTAATTAGTAAACACTTGTCTTTAACTTATTGTCTTTAATTTTAATTATGAATAAGATGAAAAATGTGTATACATACATATATACATATATTATTTATTTATTTTTTAATTCTCATCAATAGTTTGTTTATACTTATCCCGCTAAAATGTATTTCATTTAAATAAATTATCACATGTGACATAAATCCATGTTGATTTAATAAAAAAATAATAAACTTTAAATTCTTTGATAAACATATTAAGGATCAGTTATTGAGAAAATCCATGATATCTGAGATTGAATCATTCTTGCTCAGTGATGACGTCCCAAAAGCATTGTGCACGTACTGTCGTTTCGACGAATATAATCTTTCAGTTTTGAAATTTAAAATAATTTGAAACCTCGTCTCTTGTTTCAATATCAACAACAGTATGTTAAATTTCACTTTAAGAGTTTAGATTGAAAACCACTATGGCCGCTATGTAATGTTTTTAAGGTCAAAGCCATTGAGTCAATTAAAGGAGTTGATAGACAAGATTCACTCGGTTTTGTTTATTTATCGTGCAATATATAATTCTGACAAACAATTCACTACATATATGCATGGATTAAAATTCATCATTACCTGAAATTGGCTCCTGTGACGTGTTGTAAGCCAATAATTAAAAATAATGCTTTTCTTTTAACAATTATTAGGCATGAAAGGGTATTAAAATATTATCGGCTGTACTGTATCGTTATGTTTTTGTATACATATCACTTTTTTTTTAAAAATACCCTATATTATTATTTAATGTAACTTTTGTCGCATACAGGATCTGTCGTATGAAATTTCTGTTCAGTTTTACACATCCGGTATTCGATGTCAATTTCTTTTCAATAATTTATTCACGTTTTAATTTTCTCATGCTAATCTGATAGCAGTTAAATGACTAATTATTAATTAATTAATCATCGTCTTTACCTTACGTCATTTCAAACTGTTTAAGAAATATATAATAAAATGTAATTAAACAAATAAATACAATTTTATTATCATTTAAATTTAAATTTAATAATTTTTTTCTAGTAATACTATTACAATTCACGATCACTAAAGAACCTACAACAAATCAATCAACAAATTTATATATATATATATATATATATATATATATATAAATAAATATATATATATATATAAATAAGTATATATATATATATATACTTATATATATATATATATACTTAATATATATATATATATATATAAATAAGTAATATATATATATATATATATATATATATATATATATATATATATATATATATATATTACTTATTTTAGAAAATCAATAGTTATAGTTCTTATTATATTTAATATCAATGATTATATTTGATTACTGATTATTAATACTAGTGATAAAAAAATTAACTTATTATTATAATAAGTTCTTGATTCATATATGTGTATTTTTTCCATTTTTTATATTTTTAAGCAATTTTATATAGTTGATATTTTGAATTGTAGGATTTTTTTTTTTTTTTAATGTGTGCATTCAAATTTAAAATTTCAGCTTTGTTATTAATAAATGTCTATTAAGATTGCGTTCCTGAATGAATTCGACTGATGGATTTATTTGAAACTAAACTACTCTGAAATATTCCTGAGACATGTTAGTAGATTAAAACAAGACTTAGTAATTACTAACTTGATTGTGTCAAATTTTTTTTTCAAATATTTTCTCGGTTCAAATTATGTCATTTTATTGACTAACAA